GAAGTGCAATGGTCGTCGAACCTTTTTATCCACCGACGATCTTTGCCTTCTAACAAGGTGTTCGTGTGCAGGTGATGTCCACGTAGATGGGACATAGCCGAAATTCTGTTAGCACATTTTTTTAGGTCAATAGTTTACGTCATATTTAGGTGGTAACAAAGAACATTAAACATAATGATGTCATGATAATGTTTTTGGATTAAACTATTTGTACACACAAAATGTACGCCTTGATTAACACTCCCTTATGTGTAAAAAATCTGAAAGTTGATTGAAAAATGTGTTGTTAAAATCAATATACAAAAAATTATCAATTCACGTGCATGTAAATCATTGTGTCAACATTTATGTACATGCAGCATGGTCCATGTTTTTATATGATCTCTCTCATACTCGATTTAGAGCTTTATCAATAACCTAAATTAAGGTATCTAGCGTCCTCTCTGGACTCTTTGACCAAGTCAAAGGATCCATGAACTTATCCAACATGAATTTCAGATCGACAACAACAATATCCTCAGAGTACATCATATTTAGATAGTAACAAAGAACATTATACATAATCGTTTTTTGGGTAAATTCTTTTATGGGTCTTCAACTTTTTATAAATGTGGAAATTATGTTTTGAGTTTCTTTATTGGTGACATTCATGTCTCTATTTTACTTTTTTTTTCTTTTTTTTTTTTAAGTCAAATATCACATTGGGACGTGGTTATTTTATCTATTTGAAAAGACCGACTCATTGAGGAATTTACCTTCTTTTTTGAAATATTGACAATTCAAAGCATTCACACGTGTGTGCTCGTCAATCAGCTGATGACACACGTATGCGAACGATTGTTGAATTTATATATACATCCTGTTCGTATTCTCCATGTACTATAAAAAAGAAAACCCGAGGACCGCCAAAACCCAGCCCAAAACCACCCCTTCAACTACTCGGATCACCGCCTGCAACAACCGCTGCCGCCGCCTCGACCTCTGCCAATCTTTACATAAATCCAAAATATCTTTGTATATAAAACCTATATAAGTTTCTTTATTAAGTGGAAACTTTATAAGTCGCTAATGGCATGGTTGTGTAAAGGGGAGTACTGCAGTAATCCTATTTGAACAATTGGAGACAACGCGGCGTCGTATTAAATACCGGAAGCAATGAAGAGTTTTCAATTTTCGTTCATTTTTTTGCTGTTTGTCTTCTTCAGTAGTCCTAATGGTAACTGTTACCTTTCTTGATTCTTTATTATTATTATTTTTTTCAAAAAGTAATTTTAATGCGATCTGATATTTGAATTTTGAATACAAACTTTATGTATGAAGTTGGTTTTCTTTTTGGATCACTGATCGTGTGATCTGCTAAGATAGCTGATTTTTATGTTCTTTAATTTATAAATCGATTTGGGTTTCTGCGATTCTTCGTTTAATTATTCAAATTTCAAATTTTATATGAAGTCAGGCACTCAATATGAACACATATATGCTTATTTAAATATTGAACTTGTGTTTATGTTCTTTATTTACAAATTCTATATGCTGCCTTTTTGGCTCTAAGTATCTATTCCTCTAGATTATGCACAAACACACGTGAATGCGTTTATAATGTATGTGACTTATACGCAATCGAGATTTCTTAGGTCTAGATTTAATGGTATTTCAGAGAACAATTTTGTAATCTAGATGTCCAAAAGTTTAATAGTAAGATGGAACTGGGATTAGCCACAATACCCAATTTGAAGCTCTTTTAAGTGTGTATAATTTTATTGCTTCTGTTTTGATTTTATTTTTTTATTGAAATTTATGGAATCTGCGTAAAAATGCAGTTCGCTGACTCTCTGTTTCTTTACTATTATTTTTTTCCCAGCACAACAAATGGCAAGAGCATTCACGGGGACTTATGGAATTAATTACGGTAGAATTGCAGATAACATCCCTTCACCTGATGAAGTTGTGACATTGCTTAGGGCTGCAAAGATAAAGAATGTAAGAATTTACGATGCAGAACACACTGTTCTCAATGCCTTTAAAGGGACTGGGCTTGAGTTGGTGGTTGGACTTCCCAATGGATTAGTTAAAGATATGAGTACAAATGCAGATCATGCTCTGACTTGGGTTAAAGATAATATTAAGGCATTCCTCCCTGATACAAGCATAGTTGGGATTGCTGTGGGGAATGAAGTTTTGGGAGGAAGTGATAATGAACTCGCAGTAGCTTTATTGGGTGCCGTAAAAAATATTCACAATGCCACGAAAGAGCTTGGGATAGACAAGTCAGTTCAGATTACTACTGCTCATTCTCAGGCTGTTTTTGCAAATTCATTTCCTCCCTCTTCGTGTATTTTCAAAGATGGTGTTGCTCAACTGATGAAGCCTCTTTTGGAGTTCTTTTCTCAAATTCAGTCCCCTTTCTGTCTAAATGCCTATCCCTTTCTGGCTTACACATATAATTCAGACAAAATTGACATAAATTACGCCCTATTTCAGAAAAATGAGGGAATAGACGATGAGAAAACTGATCTTCATTATGATAACCTGCTCGATGCTCAGATTGATGCGGCTTATGCTGCTCTGGAGGATGCTGGATTTAAAAAGATGGAAGTTATTATTACAGAGACAGGTTGGGCTTCTCATGGGGACCAGAACGAACCTGCCGCTACACCAAACAATGCAAGGACGTATAATTATAATTTGCGAAAAAGGCTGGCCAAGAGGAAAGGTACTCCACTGAGGCCAAAGAGGATGTTGAAAGCCTATATATTTGCATTGTTTAATGAGGATTCAAAACCTGGTGCACTTTCTGAGAAAAACTTTGGACTGTTTAAAGCCGATGGGAGTATCTCCTATGACATTGGGTTTCCAGGACTTAAATCATCATCTGCTCCATCTTCTCTTTTGTCTTATAAGGTACGTCACCCCCATTCTTTTTAAGATTTTGTCAGGCTAATGAATTCTTTGTGGATTATGGTTTTAGAACTATTAATTAGCAGATAAATATTGCCTTCTATGTCTGCTTCCCTGCTTAATTTTCTAATTTGGTGGTAATTTTACACGGTAGCTAGTGAGGAATAGGTCCCGCACTCCCGGAATAATTTTCTAGTTCAGTGGTAAGTTTACATGGTTGCTAGTGAAGCATAGGTCTATATAAGTGTTGCTTCCACGCATTGAATATTAGGTTATGCTAGGCTCCCATGAAAAGATTTTTTCCCTACATGTGGTTGAGCTTGTGAGTGATATTTCCCCCTTCTATATATTTGCAATTCCTGGACATTTTGGAATTGTTTTCTCAAGTCTAAAGTCAGGAAAATAAAATCTTATTTGCCCTACTGAAAGTTGGCTGATATATTGGAATCCTGCCAAGCAAATTCCTGAGGAAAAATTGGACTCTCAGCAAGTTCGAAAAAATTAAACTCAGGAATAAAAGGTAAGTAAATAATGTGAAGACTCGATCGTCACTTGTTTATGAAGAACCCACCTGCATGCTAATTTCATGAAGCACATTAGGTCTTAGAAAGAGAGAAAGATCACTTTTTCATAATAAAAAATTGAAACAACATGGAATTCTTGTAAATTTAGAGAATAAATAGTTGTAGTAGTTCAGCATTCATACAAGCTTCCATATTTGAATTCTGATGCCATCCTTGACTTACTGGGTTATATTTTGAATAATTTAGATTGATTCTGTTGAAGATAAAGCTGTTAGACCAATTGGTTAACCATGGTATACAAAGGTTCTGGGTTCAGGTTTCGTTGTCACCTATTTACATAAATCTTGCACGTGTTAGGGTTTGATGGAAAAAAATCCCGCTTACACGTGAGGGAGCGTGTGAAAATAATATTTATATGATGTATGGTACTACATATAATAAAATGCTTGAAAAAGAGATGGATTTTGAATTTCTTGCATGAAAAAAAAAATCCTGCTTACACGTGAGGGAGCATGGGAAAATAATATTTATATGATATATGGTACTACGTATAATAAAATGCTTGAAAAAGAGATGGATTTTGAATTTCTTGCAGGACTTAATTCAGAATTAGATGAAGTAAAGGGCAGAGTCCTTGGCAAGGAACCACTTCTTTCAGTCCGTGAAGTATTTACTTATGTGAGGAGGGAAGAAAGTAGAAGTGTTATGATGTCCAGTTAGGCTCTGCTTGGGGTAATTGAAAATTGGATGAGTTATGTACCAGCTGCTGAAGCTGTCTTGCTCATGTTGAGATGTGCATGTACATTATTTGCAGCTCTTCTTCAAATCCTTATTGATACTAGTATTCTTATTTAGGGGTTAGATTTTATTTGGACTCCTAAATTAGCATGTTTGGGAAGTGTTTATATATGGTTTAAATTATAAATAGATAGAAATAAGCGATGGATAAGTGTATAGGACCCACACCTCGAAATGTGTGGATAAGAAGTGACTTTAGTGTTTATAAACAGTTATAAACATGAGCCAAACATATTATCCAGTTTCTGACTAGAATTAGGATTAAATTTCCTAGTCTTCTAAGATTTCCTATAGCTAGAATAGGTTTTTGTGTCTTCTAGGTTTGAAGTGCCCAAAAATAGGCCTTGATTGTCCTAACAAAATAACAAATTGGAGAACTGTATCTCTAGTGCTTATTTTGATCTTCGCTTATATTATTATGTTCTTTCTATCAATTTTTTTATTTGTTAAAGCTTGTTCCTTCATCAATTTTGGTATCAAAGCTGTCATCAATCCTAATTTGTAGTGCCAATCTGAGAGTAGTGGATTTGAAGATCGGTTAGCCAGAGCTCTTTATCTCAATTTCTGAGTTTAAATTTGAAAATTTAGATTTCAATGTAAGAATGCGCGCACAAAAAATTCTTGATTGGAAAGCTATCTTCTTGAGTTATTTAAAGTGGAAGCGTAAGCTAGAAGAGCGAAAAGTACTTTTAGTGAAAATTCACACTTGGGAATCGTTGAAGGCACAATTCAGAAAGCACTTTTGTCTGGATGGTTATATGATTTCTTTGTATGATTGATTCCATATTTTGTGTCAACGGTACCTTAGTGTTGAAGAGTGCACCTACGAGTTCCATTCTATAACTTACAAGTTCAACTTGGCTGCCATGAAACTGATGATCAAATTGCCGATGTTTAAAAAGGCTCAAGAAGAGATGAGATGAAGACTGGAATGCAAGGAAGCGAGAAATAATCGAGGAGATAAGGAGGAGAAGATCAATATTGAATGATGAGCAAACACTTCTAAGGAAGAGAAACTAAGGCAATAGTACGATATGTGGGTGTTGGTAGACGTAAAAAAAAATGTACCACGTGATCCAAAATACATACCAAAAGCATCTGATATGTCGTTAATTGCAATGAGTTATATTGGCCCATCATCTACTCAAGAGAGTTTTATCTTTAAATTTGCTTCGCTTTTTAACCCAGATTGATTAAGGATTCACATCACTTTCGAAAAAGAAAAAGATAACTCATCATTGTTTGAAAGAGTTTCTTTCGTGACATTCCCTGATTAGGTAACGTTTTTAAACAATTTTTATAGAGTTATTTACTCTGATTTCTAACTTCCATGACTGCATGTGAAATCATGCTATAATGTATCTAATGAAGAAGTAATAAAATTTTGGTAGCCATCCCTCTCCATAATGAATCGACTTGAACTTTTTCGCTAATTGCAAATTCTATTAAGATTTGATTCTTGACTGCTTGGAGGTTGAGGTTTCTCCATATGTGCATATTATTAGGTATTTTATTCTTCATTAGTCGTGATTAATTGGTAGATCAAGCTCTCTAGATAAATCTGTGGTCTTAAATTGTTTTTTGTTTCCTTTGGAAATGTGACATGATGATATGTATAATATTGTACTAGTATAGTTTTAAATCTTGGACTAAAATGTCACAACATATATAAATTGTCGAGTTAATTTTCTCTCATGTGGGGCTTGCATGAGTGTGTATTCTAACATAATCCCTTACGTATTTTTTTTGTCATTAAATTTCACTGCACACCTGTACAGTATGATCGTGCTGAAAAAAAGAGAAAAAGATGCTATACCTTTAAAATAGAAAAAAATATAAAAAGCTGAACAGGGAGTGATCACATGAGGCAAAGGAATTAATAGAAGATTGACTTAGCTACATTGGATCTTTCAGTGAGATGCTGTACAAAAACTAGCGACTGATTTTACAATTTATTCTTATTGCAAGGATATAGAAAGGTCGAAGCTTATTTCATAAACACCACAATCAGAGAGGGATGTAAAATCAAGTTTGGCATAGCCTAAAACCAAGTAAAAGTACTTGAAAGTAATTTTGAGCTTAGCTGAACGTATGTCTAAGCTTAAGCTTTTAAGTACTTCATTTTTTAAGGCTTAGCCAAACATGCTCTTTGAATTTTCAGAAACAAGCGTGTAGGTTCTTTAATTGGAGTTTATGGATGATGGATTTTATTTGTATGCTCTTGTATTGCATTTTAATAGTTCTATTATCATTTCTCTAGTATATATCTCAATTTTTCACTTATCCACCTTGTAATTATTCAATATTTCAGGAATTTCAAGCTGGAATGATGCTTGGACCCATTTTATCAGTATTCGCAGTTTCAGCTTCAGTCTTACTTTTGCTTTTAAGATTATGATTTCAAAATCTCTGCTTTATTCAACACGAACCCTTGCGGTTCTAGGTAGGATACTGTCTCGATTGCACATTCAGTGCTTTAGGAAATACATTATATCTCAATATACTCTACCCATTATATAAGCTGCTGACCCTTTTTACTGATCTCAGAATTTGTATCTATTTATCTGAAATAAATCTTTTGCTGGTTTATGTGTTCTTTGTTTTCATGGCCTGAAGTAAAAATTAGTTTTTCTTGATATTGAACTATCAAGATTACTTTTGCCATCTCATTCCTTCATAAAGCTTTTTCCTTGCATTAGGAAAGGAGCTGTTGAAGTTGTGAGCCTACTCCCCTCACCCCCAATCACCCCACACAAACTCTCATGGAATTAGTATTTATGGCTCTTTTATGCAAGTTGGCTTATCAACCTTCTTGGTGAGGCTACCCGAGTTATGGTGTACGATTAGAGGCATCAAAAAGGCCACGTGTGGGATAGGCAGGCCGGGCTGGTGTCCTTGCCCTTGGCTCGTGGCCCTCTCACCATGGCACAGACCATGCCTGCAGACCTTGCTGGTCCTCGTACTTTAATGGACAAATGGTGCTGGACCTCTGCAGAAAGCAGGTGGGTCGAACTCGGTCCACTTTACCCCCCCTCCATATTTTTTAATTGCGTTGTCAAATTTAAACCATATTTAGAAAAATATTATTGAAAAAAATAAATGAGCAGATGGGGTGGAGCATGGGGATATTTTAATATCAACCCTTTGCCACTCCTAGTACCAAGATATGGAAATAACATTGTCAAGTTTAAAATCTATAGTTTCTCGTAAGCATGTCTATTGATTGGTCTCTATGGAGAAAATATAGTTACGTTGAGCCTATTAGTACATGTAAATTTGGCTTAACATGGGTATTTACCAATATAACCTTGATTCTGTGATAAGAAGATTTGTATTCTTCTAGTGCATAGTTGGTAATATTGTACTTCAACGTACTCTTGTCGACGAGAAATGGAATGAGGGACAGGAAGCTACTCTTGTTCATCATGGGCCTTGTGTGCTTTGTATTCTCTATCGCTTGGAAATAACCGATCGCGATGCAACAGTCATGATAACTCTCTGCAAGTAGATCAACACCATTTCTTTTGAATGGCACGTTCATCTGATATAATTCACTTTCACTTCAAAATCATCTTTTGAAATCGTTTTCCCACTTTTTTGTTAATATCCATCTTCGAACTCTTTTTGGTTAATAAATACTGGTCCACCTATAATTAAATAGAAAAACAAAACTTCATTAGTGAGTCAAACCATCCTTTCTTAGGGGATTATCATTCTCACTTCAATGGTCAAGTGAGAACCTCAAGAAAACAACATGAGATGAAAAATGTCTCATTTTTAACGTGTATATATAGGGGTAGGCAGTGTCAAAATCAAGTGTCTTGTTAATATCGTGAGTCATGTGGTTGTCACTTGTCATGTCGATGTCACGTTTTATTGTTGTCAAAGCTTTTTTAACTGTTACTCTATAAGTCTATATCGAAATATAGAAAGTTGGTCTGTACTATAAAATCAACTTGTAAGATTACTTGACAGTTGCGTGTGATTGGCTTGAAAGCCTCACAAAGGAATATCAATTGCATTGTTGGCTTTAATAGGACTTGTATCGATAGGTGTATACCTCGTAAAATATTAGTGTAACGTGTACAGTGGATTAAAAAATAATAATAACAATAGTCTTATAATCTTTACGAAAGTATGTGTTAAGAAGGTTGTAGGACTTGTACAAAATCTGAAACAATGGAAAATGATTGAAAGGTTATCCCTGGATAGAGAATCATATGCCAAAGTTAGAAGTGCCCTACGAAAAAAAAAAAAGATAACTTGAATATATAGAAGTTATGAAGATGCCACCAGCAATTTGGAGTGAAGGCTAGATCTAGATTGAACAAAATAATTGTAACTAAATTTTTAGAGTAAACTATTTCGATTCTGACATAGTGACGAATTCATCCTCGAGTTTTTTAGGAAATAATGAAATATGTTTTGTAATTCCATCACGAGTAGATTCTTCTTCTCTAGTTTGCAATTCTCTCCCTCTTCTTTCATAAAGAGGTGAAAAACAATGCCCAAAAGCTAAGAAAATAACTTAACAAGACAATGATTTTTTTGTTTTTTTGCCCTTTATTGTTGGGTGCACACAAAAAGTCCATTGAGATATTGAATCGAATGTTTGCAATAACTCCTCCATCTAATTCCAATTTTTTGGTAAAAGGCACACAATTTTAGGCATAATCAATCTGCTCCTCAAAAATCTAGTTGACTCTCCTAATATATATTTAGAATGAAAAATTAGAGTTTGGTTAACTTTTCATTTAGTGTGACTATGTTTATCCGGTATTCAACTTTCAAATATGAAGTTGTGGGTTTCATTTTACTTAAATCTATAAATTTGAGTGCTTACCGTCAATCTAAATGTTAAACACCTACAACTTTCACATTACTTAAAGCTAAGTAGTAAATCCATCAAACCACTTAAAAACTTATTCAATTCAATTGAAAGCCGTGTGCGAACACCTATAATGACGATTTGATCATATAAGGACCAAGATTCGCAAACTTAAATAAGTCAAGAACTCATAACGATACAATGTCCTAATTTTCTTAATTCCATATTATGTCTATTGAACCGATCCAACCGTTACCAAACTAATACCTATTTCATTTAGTACTTCAGTTGTTTCAATCTCATTGGTGAAGCATCAAACTGAAATAAGATCTCATATTCATGTACAAAAGTCGGCTCTCTAGCTACAACATCTCATCCATTTTCACTTTCTTCCATTTTATTACGAGTAATTTGTTCAACGTTATAAATTCAAAGATGACGACAAAACACGAGACGTGTACGAACCAATGATAGCCATACACCACCAACTTGCCATCCTACTTGACCAGGACTTCCCTCACATCACATTGATATGCAAAGTGATGTTAAAGTCTATTTAGCTACTCTACATTAAATACTTTTAACACCACTTTCTTCCTACATGGAATTCATCTATAAAATCCCCTTGAAATTTCACACAAGATAATATATATATATATATATATAAAATACTATATTGGGTCAGCATTGTTGAAATGGAATTCTTGGAGAGTAATGCTACACGTATAGGGAAAGTTTCACAAAATTCATACAGGGGGACACTTGATACAGTTTCATTGACAGTTGGCAAAAAAAAAGCAGCGAATCAGAAGCTGCCAAAGCAGCACTTATAGTAATTCTGCGAAGAATTCCCCTGTACTTCGAAAATTTTCCATTCTTGGAACCTCGGACACAGAAGATTACAGAGCCAGCCAGGGAGAGACTTGAAAACACTGATATTTATGGGCAAAAACATCAATTTTGATTTTTTTTTTTTTTTTCAGTTTTGGTGGGGACTTGTGTAGTGGTAGAAAAAGGAAATGCTTTTTCTTTAGAGAGCTAGGAGGAGAAAAGGGAGAAATGTGAGAGAATGGATTGCCATATCATCGATTTTTCATCATGATAATGATAAATAACATTACTCCTTGAAAAGCTAAAGTTTGAGAATAAGCCCATGTTTGGCCCCCATTAAAATTATAATTCATTTTTTTCTCTTTTTTTATCAACCACATATTCTCCAATAAAATAACATTACACGTAATCCAAAAAAATCTTTTTTAATCACACATTTAAAAAAAAATTATTCCAACCATTAAAATTTCAAATATTGGGGGCCAAACATGGGCTAACTTGCAACTCAGAAAATAAAATATATTTTTCTCTTATTTTCAATCACATATTCTTCAATAAAATAATATTACACGCAAATTTAAAATTTTTTCTTATTTTTTAACCACATATTCTCTATCAAAATACTATTCCAAAATACATTTGGGGCAAAAAATGGGGCTCAATATATTTTTCAATAAAATAGTATTACACGCAAATTCAAAAAATTTCCTTATTTTCTAACTACGTACTCTCTATCAAATTACTATTGCAAAATGCATTTTTGGAAAAGAAAAGGGTTGAAACATGCTCTAAGATTTTCCGATCCACATTTTTGTCAAAAGTTCATATAGGGGGTCATTTTTCTTTACATCAAATGAGATATAAAATTTTAATTTATTCAGATTTTGATGTGTGATAAAATAAAAATGATACCAATTTTTACAATAGATCTTAATTTTCTCTTATAAGACAAAATTTAAATAATTTAATATGTAAGGATTTTTAATCGAATATGTGTGCTTATATGTGAAATA